GGTACATGAGGCAGCCAACTAGCTCTAGGTAAGGACCACTCGGCTCTACGGACTCGTCCGAAGGTGGAGCTGAGAGCGAGTGACCTGTAGCTAGAGGAGTGGCCTGTGCTGAGGACCAGGTGAAGCCGAAACGCTGAAGGACCTGCTGCACCATGTGTGACGGAGTCAGGGTGATGGTGTGGCGTGCTCTGTCCCAGATGATCTGCAAGCCAAGGTAACTGTGCAGCTCACCCAGGTCTGTGCACGTGTGTCTCTTCTGCAGCTCCGACTTCACCAGGGCGAGAGCCTCAGTGTCAGCAGTGGCAAAGACCAAGTCGTCGACGTACACGAGGATGTAGAACGGCGGCAGCGAAGTGTCGGTGCGAAGAAACAGCGACGGGTCAGCAGTCGACGGAGCAAACCCAAGAGCCGCTAGTGTCGTCCTCAGTGTGTCGTGCCACTCACGCGGCGCCTGGCGGAGACCGTAGACCGGCCGCCGGAGACTCCACTGGGTACCAGGAGGGAACGACCCAGTGAAGCCAGGCGGGCGGCGCAACCAGATCTCCTCGTGCAGGCTGCCCTGCAAGAAAGCTGTGCTGAAGTCAAGAGAGTGAAGCTCGTAGTCACGCTGAGCAGCAACGTGCAGCAGCACCCGAAGAGTGGTCATCTTCGGGGTGGGGGAGAAGGTCTGGAAGAAATCAACTCCCTCTCGCTGACTGAAGCCTCGAGCAACGTAACGAGCCTTGAAGACAGGCGGGGAACCTGGCGGCCGCTTCACCCTGAAAATCCACATGCCACTGACGATGTTCGCCCCGGGAGGGGGAACCTCGTCGACGTAGGTGCCTGTGGACTTCCAGGATGCCATCTCTGCATCCATGGCTGTCTGCCACTGAGAGGAGTACTCACCCGCGATCGCCTCAGCGTAAGAGCGCGGGGTCGGGATGTCTGGAGCATCCGGGTCTCCCTCAGGGGCAAGCAGCATGGACACGAGATGAGGCGCAGCGGCTGCAAGACACTCAAGGTCCTCCTGCCTGTCCTTAAGGACGTCCGTGCCAAGAGCACACTCACCCCTGACGGACGGAGGACGGACAGACTCAGACTCAGCAACAAGACTAGCGGCGTAGTCTAGACGACAGGCAGAAGCAAAGTCAACCGGCTCAGCGACCAAGGCAGACGCAGCTGCAGACTCAAACGACGGGTCAGTGACAACAGTGGCTAGCAGACGCGTGACAGTAGAGTGAGCAGCATGGGTGCGGTCAGACTCAGGCTCAGGGATGGTAGGCAGAGAAGACGCAGGAGGGGAAGGCAGGGGAACACGCTGCGGAGGAGAGGAAGGACGACGGACGACAAGGCATGACACGAGCAGGGGGCCGACAACTGACCTGACGCAGACGCAGACGCTGCTACCTGAGGGGACTCAGTGGTCAGGGTGTACAGGCTCGAGCCAGGCTCACGGGTACACGTGGCCAGGTGTCGGCCCGTCCGAGCACACGTACAGTGAGTCACTCGCTGACTTGCAGGAGTGAACTGGCCAACCCCCCCATCCTGGAGGTCAGCTCCACTCACCAGGTTCGTAGAGAACGAGGGGAGGTAGAGACCTGACAGCAAGCCAGACGGGGCGGCCGGACACGGCAGAACCGTGGAGTAGTGGGCAAGGACTGGACCCCTAGAGGGGTCTGCCAGGGAGACTGCAACTGGCCGAATAAGCGGCATGAGTGTAGTGCAGTCGCGAAAGAAGGAGCGGGAAGCTCCTGAGTCAAGGGTGAAGGTGTCCAAGGTCGCAGCAGGCGAAGTACCAGAGAGAGCAGACTCACCAGCACCTGGAGCAGCAGCCTCACCAGCACCTAGAGCAGGAGACGCACTAGCACCTAGAGCAGCAGCCTCACCAGCACCTAGAGCAGCAGGCTCTATACCTGGGTCAGGCGGTACGCACAGGTAACAGGCACGGTCAGCACTAGTAGGCAATGCATACATGGCAGTGAGAATAGCATCATGGTCAAGAGCAAATATATCTACCCTCTGCCCAAGCAGCTCCACCCAGTCGGGGAGCTCAGCCTCGTCGCCAAACTCGGCAAGCCAGGCGTCGCTCAGACGGGCGAAGCAGCGGGACTGTGTGTGAAAGAGCGTCCCGCAAGTGTGACCAGTCCGAGCACCAGTGCGAATGACGTAAGGGCAGCGAACGGTACTGAGAGACCCTCTACTCTGAGCGTACCACTCACGAAGCTGCTGGGGCGTGCGAGACTCGCGCGGACGTCGCTGGAGCTGCATCTGGCCACCGCCAGTAGCAGCAGTAGCAGTAGTAGCAGCAGTAGCAGCAGTAACAGCCGTAGCAGCAGTAGCAGCAGTAGCAGCGCGGCCACCCCTACAACCCCAACTAGCGTACCACTCACTAAGCTGCTGGGGCGTGAGGGACTCACGCGGACGTCGCTGGAGCTGCATCTGGCCACCGTTAGTAGCTGCAGCAGCGCATGCAGGGCAGGCGCGACAGGCAGGCAGGCAGGCAGGCAGGCGGCGCGGCAGCGCGCTAACAAGGCAGGTGCTCACTAGTGGCGGGAAGAGCAGGCGCTCACCGGGCGAGCAGGGCCGGTGCTCGGCGGACGGCGGCAGGGTCGGCGCACGACGGCGGCGACGGCGGGGCCGCAACAGCGGCTACAGTGAAGGGCCGCGTCAGCTGCAGGGCTGGGGCCACGACAGCGGCAGGTCAGGGCCGCGGCAGTTGCTGTAGGGCCGGGTCGAGTCAGCGGCAGGGCGGGGCCGTGTCGGCGGCAGGGCAGGGCCGGGTCGTGTCAGCGACAGAGCGGGGCCGTGTCGGCGGCAGGGCGAGGCCGTGGCGGCGGTAGGGTGGCGCGCGCCGCTGCCTAGGGCCGCGCACTGGCGGGCAGAGCGTGGCGCGGGCTGCGCGGACGGCGCGCAGCGCGCTGCGGGCCGCGGACGCGCCGCGCGGGCTCTGGGCGGGCTGCGCGGGGCAGCGGCGGGCCGCGCGTGCGCTGCGCGGGCTCGGTACGGGCCGCGCGGGGCAAGTGTGGGCCGCGCGCGCGTCGCGCGGGCTCGGGGCGGGCTGCGCGGGGCAGCTGCGGGCCGCGCGCGCGCTGCGCGGGCTCGACGCGGGCTGCGCGGGCCGTGCGCGGGACGCGACGCGGCTGCCGAGGCGCGATTCGGGCAGGAGGGGGCGACCCGCGGGGGTAAAAACGAGGCAGCGCGCTAGAATTAGGTCTGCGCGCGAAGCAGCAGCAGAAAGTTCAGACAGTAGACAGCAGGCAGACAGTGCGCGTAGCGCAGCACGTCCTAGGTACAGTGACAGGCACATTCGTGGGGTAGCGGTAGGTGGGCCCGAAAAAAAAAGGACGGTCCTACGGACCTACTGCTCTGAAACCATGTCGGAAGTATAGGCAGGAATGAAATGAACTATGCAAGAGTTGGGTACAAATATCAAACCCTAGTAGGGGTTGTACCCCATATTTGCTACCCCACTACACCACTACAGCCTAAACATATATAGCATACATAATCTGACACATACCATATGAGAAAAGGAAAGGTAAGGAGATATCCGAAGGTCAGCTGAGATAGAAGGGCAATTGGGTTTTCTCATACTATTCCTCCGAGTTGTCCGCATATGGTACTTGTAGAGCAGGGGGAGGGAAGGGGGGGAGAGGAGAGGTATACGGTTTGAGAAAAGGAGAGATAAGACATGGAAAGATAAGGTGAGAAAATTAGGGACAAGGGATACAAGGAGTAGATAAGGAGAGGCAAGGGAAGATAAGGCAAAGTGTGTGTTCACGTGGCCTTCCATATGAAACTAGGGGAAGAAGTGGGGGAAGGTGGAGAAAAAGGTGGGGGGGAGTGGAGAAAAAGGAGGGGGAAGGTGGGGAAAAAGGTGGGGGAAGCTGGGGGGAAGCTGGGGGGAAAGATGGGGAAAGCTGGGGAAAAGGTGGGGGTGGTGGAGAGGGTGGAAGGGTGGGGGATGAGAGCAGGGCAGGTGGACTCTGCACTGCTGCCATGCAGTCTCAAACTAGGGCACAACACTCACCGCTGTAAGGTCGCTCAACAGTCAGATTTGAGAACTCTCAAAAGTGACTCTCAAAGGGGCAGGCGGGGGATGAATGACAGCAGGGCACGTGGACTCTACACTACTGCCATCCAATCACGAACCAGCGCACCGCACTCACTGCTGTAAGATCACTTGGCAGCTGGTCCACCTGCATGAAACACACCTGTAGCATCTTCAAATGAAGCTAGAGCGACCTGAAAGCAGAATGCCTTACAAAACGACAGACCCCAACAGCAAATGACATTACAGGCAGTATATCATTTTTTATAAGATTCAAAAGTACCCTGCAACATCACACCACAGCAGATCACAAGACAGAAAATCACACCACAGCAAATCGCACCACAGTAGATCACACCACATCAGATCGCACCACATCAGATCGCACCACATCAGATCGCACCACATCAGATCGCACCACATCAGATCGCACCACATCAGATCGCACCACATCAGATCGCACCACATCAGATCGCACCACATCAGATCGCACAACATCAGATCGCACCACATCAGATCGCACCACATCAGAGCACACGACATCAGAGCACACGACATCAGAGCACACGACATCAGAGCACACGACATCAGAGCACACGACATCAGGGTTTGTCACTCACCGCTGTGAGATTGTTAGGCAATCGGTCCACCTAGCAGCATCTCCAACTCCTCCACATCCTCCTTTCCAGCAATTCAGCAGCGCACCCACCCCCCCACCCGCCCCCCCACCCACTTCAAACAAGGACAGAGAGCCCGGTATAGGTAGCTAGCTGTTCACTCACAGCAGTTAATTCGTTCAAGAGTCGGTCCACCTGAGTGCAATACGCCTCTTACATCCTCCCCTCTCCCCAAACTCACCACTCTCGGGCAATCAAGGGGCAACTAGTGTGGCAAGCTGGGTTGACTGGAAAAGGTTTCAGGAGGTCAACTAGCTCTGGGAAGTGGTGGATTTCCTGTAGATGGAACTTTTTCAGCTGCCCAGACAGTAGGTATCGTTGATTGAGAAGGCTGCTATGGTCATAATGAGCATCGACAGCACCATCCCCGTTGCTGTTATTAGCACCAGGAGAGGGGGACAGGGGAATGAAGGGAAAACAAATGAAAGAGATGCGTGCATGCGACATGGCTAGACATCAGAGCCACATGACACATACTTTGGTTCACCTTTAGGCCCACCCTCATTCCCTCCCACCCCTTCCCTTCCCCCTCCTCAAAAGCTAAGAAAATAAAAAACTGCATTACCCTAAACCCTGGATGAGCTGCCACGTCATCATTCTTGCCACGTCATCAGCACCACCCACCTGCGTCCCCTGTAGCTGGTTCCTGCGATAGTCCAGCTGTATGTTCACATAGTCCTCCGTGTCCTCCACATACTCGTGGAGCTGGGGAGAGGGGTGGGGATGGGGCAAGGGATGGAAGGCAGTGGAGGGGGCATTGATAAGAGATAAGGAAAGGGTGTACTCATACCAGTGTGCTCTCTTACTGCTGTATGTTCACATACTCGTGTAGCTGGGGAGAAGAGGCGGGGAGGGGAGGGGAGGGGAGGGGAGGGGAGGGGGGATGGGGAGAAGGGTTTATATTGGGTGGTCCTTACTTTCCTCCGTGTCGTCCACGTACTCGTGTAGCTGGCGAGGGGGGAGGTGTGGGGGGGAGAGGGAGGGAGGGTGGGGGTAGAGTTTGATGGCCTGTTGTTTACTGCGTGTTCACATAGTCCTCCGTGTCGTCCACGTACTTGTGTAGCTTGGGAGGGGGGGGGGGGGGGGGGGGGGATGAGGAGAAGGGTTTATACTAGGTGCTGCTTTCTTCACTGCGTGTTCACATAGTCCTCTGTGTCATCCACGCACTCGTGTAGCTGGGGAAATGGGGCAGGGTGCTGGTGAAGTTGACAACAAGAAGATAAGAAGAAAGGGAACGTATTGGTGCCCAGTTGTATGCTCTAAGTGTCCTCAGAATCCTCTGTGTCGGCCACGTGCTCATGGAGCTGGAAGAGGGGGCGTGGAGGGAGACAGCAGGTGAAATGTAAGAAGGGAAACAAGGGAAGGGCATGTAGAGTGCCTACATAACAGAGTCCTCCCTGTCATCCACATGCTCGTGTAGCTGGAAGAAAGGGGGAGGAGGGAGGAAGAGAGCCGGTGAAGAGATATAGGAAGAGAGATAAGGGCATGCAAAGCAATTTAGCATAGACAATTAACGTGGCACAGCACGGCATAGCCAGCAATTTACTCACAGCGGTCAAGTCGTCCAGTAGCCGATCCACCTGAGTGAAATACGCCTCCAGCAGGATCTCCAGCTACTCCAAAGATCAATGGCGCCGGTAGACTTGTAGAAAGGCAACGCACATGAGTGTACTCACCGCCTGAGATCGTCCAGGAGCCGGTCCCCACCTGGGTGGAAAGGGATCCACCTGGGTGGAATGGGATCCACCTGGGTGGAATGGGATCCACCTGGGTGGAATGGGATCCACCTGGGTGGAATGGGATCCACCTGGGTGGAATGGGATCCACCTGGGTGGAATGGGATCCACCTGGGTGGAATGGGATCCACCTGGGTGGAATGGGATCCACCTGGGTGGAATGGGATCCACCTGGGTGGAATGGGATCCACCTGGGTGGAATGGGATCCACCTGGGTGGAATGGGATCCACCTGGGTGGAATGGGATCCACCTGGGTGGAATGGGATCCACCTGGGTGGAATGGGATCCACCTGGGTGGAATGGAAAACGCCTCCTGGAGCATCTCCAACTCCTTTACATTCTCCCCTCCCCCTACACTCAAGCAAGGAGCAATCAGAGCTGCGGGTTGGGAATGAGGGGAAAAAAAAATCAGCAGGTCTGTTCTTAGAAATGTTAAAACTGATTCCCATGCACTCAAGCAGTCAAGGAGCAACTAGTGCCACAGGTTGGGTAGACTGGAAACGGTTTCAGGGGGCTAACCAGCTCTGGGCAGTGATGGATAGCTTTCTCAGTCGACCATACACCCAGGCAGCTTCTGAAAATGACTCAGGTTTTTACAGATGACAGAAATTAGCTGAGAGGCATGGAAAGGCCTACTGGTAGCTTCCCAAAGCTCAAAATAGTCACCAGGCTCTTGGTAGCGAGGATGGAAAGAGTTTCCAGGAAGAAATAGCCAGATATGGAGCAAGGAAACGGGGGAGAGCAGGGAAAAGGCATAAGCAGCACTTTCTTCAATTATGGAATTCCCACAAAGCTAGCATATCCAAGAGCTAACTTTTTCCTTAGCAATCTGCAATGTGGTTATGTGCACAGAAACTCCACATAGCAAGGAAAAATATGCTGCTCATTTCCTAAACACATCCTACCACTCCTACACTTTTCCCTGAGCCCTGATGATTTTTCCCTCTCCCCTTCATTCTAGGCTTGTACGTTCCTCCTAATCATCCCTTCCATCAGCTCTCATTTTCCGTAGCATCTCCATTTCCATTCATTCCACATCCTCATCATCATCCTCCTCATCCTCATCCTCATCATCCTCATCATCCTCATCATCCTCATCATCCTCCTCATCCTCCTCCTCATCCTCCTCATCCTCATCCTCCTCATCCACCCTCTCTGCTTCACATGGTTCAATCGAGCCATAACCCCTGCCATATGTTTGAAAGCCGAGGACACCCGACAATCGTGCAATGCTGCAGCATCGGCATATCGGTGAGGGAGGATGGCAGTTGACCTAGCCGCTCACACTCATGCACTTCCAGCCACTTCAGCCGGGACAAGTCTCGAAAAGAACCAGGGAGCCTGCGAAGTTTCGGCAGTTCAGACAGATAAAGCTTTCGGAGGGAGAAGAGTTGTCCAAAATCATGTGGAAGGGATGACAGCTCCAGGCAGTTTATGAGAGTGCAGTATTGTAGGCTCGGCAGTTTGGAAAATGATTCCGGAAGCCTTGAAATCTTTGGGCAGTCACATATGTCCAGAATCTTCAGCTTCTTCAACTGCCCAATAGACTTGGGCAGCTGAAGTAACTTTCTTAATTGCTCCAGACAGAGAGATATAAGCCTGGAAAGTTCACCCACAGATTCCGGCAGTATTTCGAGACACTTAGCATCGGAGATGGCCAATTCTTCCAGGCCTGACAACCGAGAGATGGATTCAGGTAGCATACGTAGTTTAGGTATGCCATCCAGGTGCAGCTTGACCAATGAAGAGATAGAAACCAGGGACGGATCAAGCACTTCGGAAGCAACACCCGAAATGACTAAGCTTTGCAGCGATGGAAGAACTTCCGCTTCACCCAGAATGCTGGAGCTGCCACTGCTGCTGCCGCCGCCGCCGCCGCTGCTGCTGCTGCAGATGCTTCTCCCCCCAACCAAGGTGTCCACACTGCTCCTCCTGCCCAGGTTCTTGCAGCTGCTCACATCCAGCTCCCGCAGTCGAGGCAGCTTTAACAGCGACCGAGGGAGCGATTTCAAACTGCCAAGATCTGAAAGCTGGAGCTCCTCCAGAGATTCTAGCTGTCCAATTTCTTCTGGCAATGTTTTCAGCTCCTTGCAGGATTCTATCGCCAGGCTGGTGAGGGTGAGAGCTAATCGGGAGAGGGAGGCCGGAAGGGAAGTGAGACTAGGGATGCTAGATAGAGAGAGTTCCTTAAGGTGTGTATAGCTGCCAAATCCCTCTGGAAGGCAGCCTCTCAAGCACTTGAGCCCTTTCAAGACTACTATTTCGAGCAATGAAAGACGGAAAAAGGAGGCAGGGAGGCGGGTGACAGGTATATGACCCAAAATCAGCTCACGAAGATGACACAGGCCATCCCCTATGCCCTCTGGTACAACAGTTAGCCGCGAGCAAGCCGTAATATCCAATTTTTCAAGGGAAGATAGCAGGGTAAAGGAGTTGGGACTTCGCACCCGCAAGTCGAGACTGGTGAGAGACGAAACATTGGGCAAGGACCTGGGTAACCATGAGGAACTGTCTTGGTCGTCAATCGTGAGCTGCTGCAGCTGCGACAGAAGTCCAACAGTCTCCGGAAGCTCCGTGATCCCCTTCACACGCCTGATGAGTAAGCATTCCAATGCCGGCATCTTCCCAAAATCCTCAGGAAACGGCAAAAAATCTTCACAATCCCACATCTCAAGCACCTTCAGTCGTTGAAGCTTAGAAGGACCGCCTGGTAACTGAAATGTATTGCAATGATGAATGAAAAGACTATGTAGATTGAGAAGCTGCTGAATGGATGCCGGGAGTGAGCGGAGAGAGCGAAAACCAAGCAGCGTCAATGTCTTCAGCGAGACAAGATTGCCAAACTCTTGAGGCAAATCTTGTAGATTTAACACACTCAGTTTAAAGTTCTCAAGAAGTTGCAAAGAGGTGATAGCGTCGGGAAGATGCTGAATACTATTGTTCCTGAGGAAGAGGCTCCTGAGTCGGGATTGGTTGCTGATGGAAGATGGAATGGTGTGGACACGGCGGACAAACGAGGTGCAGATTTTCTAGTTTGGTGCAAACCTCAAATAGCTCCGAAATACCTTTCACAGTGAAAGATTTGCCGTAACCGAACGGATCTGATGAAGTGTCGAAGCGAAGCTCAATCAAATCCGGATGCGTTTCGGCCAGGCGAGAGAAGAAAGCGTCCGGGACGAAGGATAAACTCCCGCTTAATAGGACGAGTTTCTTGAGGCTAGGAAATTTCGCGATCTGGTCAAGCAACTGACGGTAATTCATGCAACGATCATCATCATCGCGAAAATGGCAAGTATCGAAAGTCACAAAAATGTCACAGAAATGCGACTTTTATGTGACAGCAAGTCCGGCGTTTTTTAGTCATGGTTGAAAGTACCGGCCACGATGTGACCTACGAAGTCACATAAAAGTCACGTTGATGTGACCAAATGTCATACAGAATGTCACATTGTAGTGTCTCATGAAGTGATCTTCTCGTCACATCTTAGTTAACATGCCACGTGGACGCCCCGCGTCCACGTGTATTCATGTATTTTGCCACGTGTCATTGCTGGTGATTGGTCGAAATAGACCAATCAGATGTCAGCGAGCGGGGTGCGGAACTAGTATTTGATTGGCCGGCGATTTTGAACAGTAACCCACCAGGCGACGCACCCGAAACACAGTGTCCCCATTTAGTACCCGAAATTTCAGCACAGCAAGAAGTAGATGAAACTTTGGAATGACTTCTTTAGTCACATGTGCATACATGGATGTACGAACTATAGATACGGCATAGGTGTGCGAGCTAGAGATACAAGACATGTGTGCGATCAAGAGCTACTGCACGTGTGTACGAAATAAAGCCTGCACAACGTCCGAACAACGTCTAGCTATGAAAACCGTGGTTTGCCGAGCAAACATCGGACCGTATGGTCGTACGGAACATGCTGAAATCTGCACACATTAAAACCGAAACTTGAACCTGCACACAAGAAAAAAGCATGGAACGTGACAGAACCTCGACGTCATAGCGACCTGTTTCATCAGAATTTCGAGTGATCATAACCGCGCTATGCCGCGACCGCTGCTTATAAAACAAATATCATACCTCCAGGGCGGCCGAATGCACAAATCGGCCAGCCGCAACATACCCCCATCAGCTCTAGTGGCACTTTTGCACACCGCGATCTGCACGACGCAAAAATAAACCTTGGATAAGCAAAAAAAACTAGACATTACAGCTTGTCCGGAATACATAGTCATTGTCAAACACTATATGTGTTATTGTTGTGTAGGCTATAGTGGGTTAGCCTTTAGGGGGTACACAAAGCTAGGGTTTGCTACTTGTACTCCAACTTTTCATAGTTCAATCACTTCTCATTCTGACATGGCATTAGAGCTTAGGTTCTAGACCTAGGACTCACCTAAGGGCCCACCGTTAGAAGCGCCCTCGAGCGCCTTATCGTCCTAGCGCCCTCGAGCGCCGTTCTCCTAGTGCGCCCTCGTGCGCCTCGTCTTCTCCTGCTGCCTGTGCGCGGCTCGCTAGTGCCGCGCGCGGCCTTTTTTTTTTCCCCGCGCGTTGCCCCCTAGCAGCCCGCGCGCGGCCGTTTCTGAGCGCGCGCCGCCCGTTAGCCGCCAACGCCGCCACGAGCAGCTCGTCGACCGGCCCTCCTGGCCGCGTGTAGCCCGCTAGCGACCGGCAGCCCCGCCCGTAGGCCGTCGCGACGCCCTCTCTAGGCCGCCCGCCCGCTAGTAAGGCCCACGAGCGGCCACGGCCCGCCCGCTACAGCCGCCCACGCGCACGCCCCCAGGCACGCACCGCCGCGTAGCTTAGACCGAGCCGAGCCGCGCCGCCCGAACCGAGCCGCGCCGCCCTAGCCGAGCCGCGCCGCCCGAACCGAGCCGCGCCGCCCTAGCCGAGCCGCGCCGCCCTACTGTGCCCCACCTGCAGCAACTCCTGTTCCTGTTCCTACTGTACTACTGCTACTACTGCTACTGTTCCTACTGCCACTATGGCCACCCCATCCATTCTCACCTTTGACGCTGAGGGTCGCCTGATTAAGTTTGAGGTGTGGTTAGATGACCTTCACCTGTTCCTCCAGATCACTACCAAGGACGATGTCTCCCTGTATGACCATACGTCAGGCGCTGCTCCCGCGCCTCCAGCTACTGCTGACAGTGCTGCTCGCTCCCAGTGGCAGACCCGTGATGCACACGCTCGCCTAGCCGTTCGCAGTCACCTACCGTTAGATGAGCGCGAACACTTCGGACAGCATAAGACCGCCAAGGAGCTGTACGACGCAGTAGTCGCGCGCTACTCCTCCCCTGCCACAGCTGCTATAGGCCGTCTATCACTGCCCTACCTCTTCCCCGACCTGTCCGCCTTTGCCACTGTAGCTGACCTCATCACCCACCTTCATACCAGTGACCTCCGCTACCGTGCCGCACTCCCCCCCGATTTCCTCGCCAAGAACCCCCCCCCGATGTACCTCACACTGTACCACCTTGTCACCCGCCTCCCTGACTCCCTTCGCACAGTCAGGGACCAGTTCCTCGCCCTCTCTCCCACTGACCTCACTGTCGACCTCCTCGAGAAGGAGCTCCTAGCAGCTGAGAAGAGCATTGTAGCTGTAGGAGCCTCTCGTGGTGACCCCCGCACCCCCTTCTTTGAGGGGTGCTCCCCCTCCCCCCTCCTCCCCTCCATTGCATCTGCTGTTGCTGTCGACTACCTCGGAGCTGAGGGGGTCGGGGCCGCGTCTGCTCCTAGTGGGAGACTCAAGGGCGGCAGGGGCAAAGGGGGCAGGGGTGGTGGAGGTGGAGGTGGGGGCAGCGGCGGTGGAGGAGGTGGGGGGGGCGGGGGTGGTGGCGGAAGTGTGAGTGGCGCGGGTGGTGGGGGGGTCAGTGGCGGCACAGGGGGTGGTGGCGGCGGCGGCGGTGGTGGGGGTGGTGGAGGTGGTGGTGGCAGTGGTGGCGGCGGTGGAGCGAGTGGCAGGCGCGGTGGAGCGGTGCAGCGTGGGGGGTTTGGCGGTGGCCAGAGGCAGCAGCAGCAGCGCCCCGGCGAGACTCCCTCGCCCCAGCAGCTCCGTGAGTGGTACTCTCAGCGTGGGGGGTCTGGGGGAGGGGGTACCTGCCCGTATGTCATTCGCACAGGAGACCGCACTGGCCAGACTTGTGGGAGGTTTCACACGGCGCAGCGCTGTTTCTTTCGCCTAGATGACGCCTGGCGCGAGCAGTTTCCTGACGCCTCTGAGCTGCCCCGCTGGGCTGATCTGCTTAAGAAGGGGATTTATATCTTTGCTCTTGATTATGATGCTATTCTTGCTGCTATGTATGCATTGACTATTAGTGCTGAGGGTGACTGTTACCTGAGTGTACCGCCCGACCCGGGCATTGGGATCAGTAAGGCTGCAGCTCTAGGTGCTAGCGCGTCAGCTGCTCTAGGTCCTGGTGAGGCTGCTGCCCTAGGTGCTAGTGCGTCTACGTCTGCTGGTGCCGCACCTACTGAGGCACTGCACACCTTCACACTGGACTCAGGTGCTTCCCGCTGTTTCTTCCGCGACCGCACTGCCCTAGAGCAGCTTCCTCGACCGGTTGCTGTCTCCCTGGCTGACCCCTCAGGGGGTCCGGTCCTTGCGACCTCCACCACTGCCCTCCCTTGTCCTGCTGTCCCGTCTGGCACGCTGTCGGGCCTCTACCTCCCCTCGTTCTCTACGAACTTGGTGGCAGGTTCTGCGCTCCAGGACGCGGGTGTTCACCAGTTCACCCCGGCCTACGAGCGTGTGACGCACTGCACGTGTGCGCGGACGGGTCATCACCTGGCTACCTTCACTCGGCAGCCGGGGTCGGACTTGTACACACTGACCACTGAGTCTCCTCAGGTAGCTGCGTCTGCGTCTGCGTCAGGTCAGCTGTCGGCCCCCTGCTCGTGTCGCTCCCTGTCGCACAGGACTGTCCTCTGGCACCACCGCCTTGGTCACCCGTCAGTGCAGCGTCTTCGCGGCATGCACTCCAGGTACCTTGTCTCTGGTCTTCCCAGGGTTCTCCCTCCTCTCCCACCCTCGCCTGCTCCTCCCTATCTTCCCTGTGTCGAGGGGCGGCAGCGCGCCGCACCTCCCTCCTCCTCGTTCCCTCCCACAGAGGCTCCCCTGCAGACTCTCCACCTGGATGTGTGGGGCCCCGCCCGCGTCCGGGGACAGGGCCACGAGCGGTACTTTCTGCTGGTCGTCGACGACTACACGCGCTACACCACGGTCTTCCCCTTGCGTACCAAGGGTGAGGTCCCTGATGTCTTGATCCCCTGGATCCGCGCTGCTCGTCTCCAGCTCCGCCAGCGGTTCCAGTCGGACTTTCCTGTCCTGCGTCTGCACTCTGACAGAGGTGGCGAGTTTTCCTCTGACCTCTTGGCAGCCTACTGTGCGGAGCACGGCATCACCCAGTCGTTCACACTCCCGGCCTCTCCGCAGCAGAATGGGGTTGCTGAGCGCCGCATTGGTCTTGTCATGGAGGTCGCTCGTACCTCCATGATCCATGCGGCTGCCCCCCATTTCCTGTGGCCGTTTGCAGTGCAGTACGCCGCGCGTCAGCTCAACCTCTGGCCCCGAGTCTCTGTTCCAGAGACCTCGCCTACCCTGCGTTGGAC